GCGGGCGGCCTCTTCGCAGTCCCGCCCCCGTCGGCAGCGGCCTCCGCGCGCCAAAATCAAACTCGTAGATCCGCCAGCCGGAGAGCTTCCAGTTCAGGCTGCAGGTCCCGGCACATTTGGCGCCGCGAGCCCCGGCGCGTGCACCTGTGGACACCTCCCAGCGCTCGCTGCCCGACGCGCTCGGGCCGCCACCAGGAGAGGCATGGCCACCCCACCCAAGAGGAGCTGCCCGTCTCCGGCAACCAGCTCTGAGGGGACCCGTGTCAAGAAAATTTCCATCGAAGGAAACATCGGTAAGGCACCTCGGGAAATGTTGGTCCCAAGGCAGGGACGGCGATGGCTGCGGCTGAAGCGCCCCTTCGCTGCATCTCTGCCGCTCCTCAGTGAGGGCTTTCCTCCCTTCCTGGTCCTGGGGATGCGGGCAAGCACTCAAATTCCCGTTCCGCCGAAAGCATCCGTCTGCCCTCCCCAGCTTCCCTCCGGTGCCCCGAGGGTGGCGGCGGCTCCTGGGCGGGAAGCTGCGCGCCTTGGCCTGCGGGCCTTGGTGAGGCGCGCTTGGGAGCCCTTTCATCCTCTTTGTTGGGGTCGCGCAAATGAAGGTTTGCTTTTAAAAGGGAAATGTCTGTGTGTCAGTTATTGAAGTACAATTTACATAGATTCATTGTCCCTTTTTAGGTGTATTCCTCCATGAGGTTTGACAAACATAATGTTTTATTACCACCAAAATCAAGATTCAGAACCTTCCCATCAATGCAGAAAGTTCCCTCGTGCTCCTTAGTAGTCAACCCCCTCTCCATTCCTGTCCCCTGGCAAACAGTGTCTGATTTCTATTGCCTGTCAGTTTTGCCTTTTCCAGAATGTCATATAAATGGAATTAGACTATGTAGCCTTTTGTGTCTTGCTTCTCTGATTTAGCATAATGCTTTTAGATTTATTCGTGTTGCTTGTCTCTGTGGTTTGTTCTTTTTTGTTGCTAAGTAATAGCCCATTGCGTGGATATACCACAGTTTCTCTCTTCCCCAGTTGTGGACATTTGGATTGCTCCCAATTTTCAGATTATGAATAAAACTGCTATAAACATTCGAGTACAAGGAAAGAGTTTTTTAATGATCTCAGCAGCATAGAGTTCTGAACTCCCCTACCCAGCATCCAAGTAAACATTGTGTTATAATTCAAAGACCACTACTATTTCTGTTCTTAATCCAGATGTCATTTTACAGGATATATGAGAACTTCTGGTTCTTCTCTATTCCTACCACAGGAAACCTATGCTTGATACTTCCTGTTTTGATAGGATTTTTTTTTAGTTCCAAGTTAGATATTGGCTATTCATGCATACAGCAAGTGTTTTACTTCTTACCACATTCAAAGCACTTATACCTGTTTTAAAAGGCAAGACAAGCAGATACTTTAGTGGCATTCCAAGGAATAGAAAAAGCTGAACACACCCTCAAAGAGGACATCTTGTTTCATTGCTCCAGTATTAAGGCACCAGTGGGAAAGATTCATGTAATAGACTCTCACCTTCTTATCTGGATAAATTCTTTGAAGGTGTATGTTTACTAGTATGACTCCTCACAGCTACTTATTGGATATGGAAGACCAAATATAAAGACAGAGAAAGTAATTGAACAAAGCCATTTCAAAAGTAAATTTGAATGAACAGCCTCTCAGATCCATACCACAATGAATTAATCCCTTCCCTTTCCTAAATCTAGTTAAGCAACATATCATAGAAGAAATTTACTTCCTTCCAAGCATCTTTAATCTTCTTGGCACCTGAAATTATTTCCTAATATGTCACCCCATCTCCAGTTTCTCTGAATTCTTCCAGAGCAGTCTTCATACAAATGTGATTGTTTTATCCCCTGCTTAGAATTCTCTGACCTCCCCATTGCCTACACTGGAAGGAGTTGCAAAACTGATGGCCTGCATTTACACAATATTGGCCTGTCCAAATTCGAAAAAAAATTTTTTTAATTCGTTGGTAGAATTTCACATTTTTGAGATATCCCATAAACGTCTAGGTTCTTGGCTTCCTTTGGAAAATCTGAAGATCTGGCAACACTGCGCCTGCGTTTTTGTAAGACAACAGTTTGCTGTTTGGATGGAATATATTCCTTACCATTTAACTGTTTTCCCCAGCACTGAGGCTTTGTCAGTAGCTGTTTATTAATGCTCTTGTACTATTGTTCATGTGCCCTCTGCCTTATTTGCCAGACCCAAATAAGCTTGAAATGTACAGATCACTAATCTGGGTGTAGAAGGGTATTTCGTGATTCCTCTGTTTTCTAGAATGTAAACTTTAACTGATTATTTTCATTTCATACTCATGTAACTTGTTTTCTCATGTTCTCTGTTACTAAAATACTCCCTTATGTTAAGTTTTGGAGGCCTTACCTACTTCTCATCTTAATGGCCTGTATAGAATAATTATTGACATTGTAATGCCTGCTTGGCATTAGTAATTTTGTTAGGTCCCATGACTTTTTAAAGTATTAACATCAACATCAGTGTCCTTGGTTCTTGTTCTCCTTTGCCTTCTTAGAATATTAATGAATTAATTAGCTTGTTTTCAAGCCCCCCTCTTCCTCCCCCAAGGTTCAGGAACTGGATATTAGTCTGATTGGGAACTGCAGGTAACAATTTTTACACTGCTTAAACTAAAGAGTAATTTTATAGAGTAACTGTTATTAATCTTTAAATTTCAGAGTATGACCACATGAACTTCTGTTTGTAAGCAGTGTCAGAAGAAAGCTGAATGCTCTGGCCTTAAGGTCTTTCAGACTGGCTGACGGCTGATGTTTTAATGTGTTCCTTGGGTGCTCTTAACATCAGGTTTTCTTTCCTTCCTCCTTCTAGCTCAGTGAATGTCTGGTGAGCGTTTTATGCTTCCTTACCCTTCTTCTAAATGCCTTACAGTTTCTATGCTTACCCTCTTCATGTGAAATCCATGGTTACCAGGGTTTTTTGGTTTTTTTTTAAGATTAAACCTGATGGTCACCTAGTTCATTCTTTAAAGTTTTTTTTCTCCTGTCCTTTGATGATATGACTTTTTTGTTTTGATTCTCAACTGTCGTCTTTTCCCTGTGTCACCCTCTTACTGACCCTCTTTTTTTTTCCTGTGTGACCCTTTAAAATTCTTCCAGTTTTTTTTTTTCTGTTGCCCGCTGTAATGTTTTAGGTTTGATTATTATTCAAGTCAAAGGTCAGCTCTTTTTGCACTCTTTGGATCCAATTTGTAAGAAAGAGGCGGCTCTGCTGCAGTTTCTTTTTTTTATGTTTATGTGTGTGTGCATTTGTTTATACATATGGAGAGAGAGAGAAAGCATGCCGACCAATGACTAAATCACATTTGGTGACTTCAGTGGAAGGGTGTGGTGGTCATTAAGAGTATTGCTACATCCTGTGAAATTCTAGGTCATGACTTTTCCTACTATTAAATTAAATGAATTATCAGGTAATTTTAAAGTAATGAATATAATGTCTTGATTATACCTGAGCTGTTTTTTTTTCCTCCTAAATAGCTCAGAAACTAGTAAATGATCAGGGAGAAGTAAAGTACATACAACTTTTTTTTTTTTTTAAGGAGTCGGATAGAGTGCACGGAACCATGAAAATGAAGCAGAATAAACATGGCTATTGTTTGTAGGAATTGCTTTACAAACATATTTTTATAATTTCTGTTAGCCATCGTGCCATATAATTAGTGTCATAATAATAATCATATTATTTCCTATCCTAAAACTCTAGGCATTGGATGTGTCTTTATATTAATTTTGTAATTTAGTTGTTTCTAAATTGGTTTCAGATAGGAAAGACCTGAGCTTGTTTGTAAACTGAACAAATAGAGCTAGCAGAAAGGAAAATTTTGAAAATGCAAGGGTCTTGTTGACTTGTTTATCACAACAGTTCCCTTGAGGAAGATATTATTACAGTCTCCATTGTATTATGAGAAAACAGGCTCAGGGAGGTTCCGTGACTTGCCCAAAATTACATAACCTAATTAAGTGGGAGCATAGCCTTAACCACTTCCTACAGAGTTATCTCCAACTGTTTTCTTAAGGAAAGTAAGTCTAGGACTAGGATTTTTAAATTCTTCTGTTCCATGGCTTTGGTACACTAAAAACAGTTAACAAAAAAAAATGTGCTTAATACAAGTTGGTAGGGACACTTTTACTTTTCTTTTTAAAAAAATCTAAAAGAGAAAGTTTAGAAAATTGAGTGTTTTTCTTTTTGTATGGTTTGCTATTAGAAATTTTGTAAAAGTTGGTGGCCATCTTGGCATTTTTTTTCCTGATAAGTTTCCTTCCTCAGTTTCACTTTTCCTCTCACAACAGCTGCTGGAAAGTCAACATTTGTGAACATCCTTAAACAAGTCTGTGAGGATTGGGAAGTGGTTCCGGAACCTGTTGCCAGATGGTGCAATGTTCAAAGTACTCAAGATGAATTTGAGGTATGAAAATAAATTTAACTATTTAGTAAAAAAAAAAAATCTTTTCATTTAGACAAGCAGTTGTATTTTTGGGTTTTTTGTTTGTTTTTCCTTTTCTAATAAAACTTTCAAATATAGCTTTAAGTCTATATCTTCTTTTGGGCAGTAGTTACGTGAAAGTGTATATATGTAAACACTCATTGAGCTATGCACTTAGGATCATGCACTTCATTGCATCTAAGTAGAATTTTTAAAGTTTTAAAAAATTAATTAACAAGTTTCAGAAAATCTAAATTGTAAGTTAAATTCCTTTAGTGGCTTTTTACATTTTGAAAACAAATAAATGAGAAAAACAAAAACAACTATCTGATAGCTAAATTTGATTAGTTTAACTTTTCAAGCCTTTTGTCTTAGAGACAGTTGTTTATGTCTCATTTCTTTGTACTTTGATTCTTGTCAGACTTTCACCCTGGACACAAGTTTCAAATTCCCAGCAATTTCTGTCCTACATTGCAAATGAGGAAGAGGGAATAATAGTTAAATCCCATTTTTTTACAGCAAACTTTTAATGTATGTATATGAAGGAGAGAGATTGGATTGCTAAGATTTTCATTTCTGGAGAAAGAAGAATTAAAATTGAAAGCAATATAGAAATCTTCAAAATGGAAATGCATGCTAGAAACTTTGTTAGGTCTCAGGAGGACAGAGATTTTTTGGGGAAAAAAGTGTATTTTTAAAAGTTTAGCTGTTGGTATGAGGAATCTGGGAATAATAATTGAATATTTAAAATGTAAATCATGCACACAAGGAGGAATCACCAGCAAGATGCTCTACAGACTTTGAGGATATATGGCTTTGAATAACTGAAAGTATTTTCTCACATACCTGTTTGCCAAGCATGGTTAACTTTAGGTCTGGAACCCAGCTCACTACACCCCAATCCTTTGAATAAACCAGGACTAAATCCTGAAGGGACTTCCTTTCCATATAGGCTCCATCTTCTTAAGAAATTGATATTTCAGTCTGGTCTTGGAGGAAAGGCAGGGTTAGCCTTAAGCAGAGTTTTTAAATGGATAGATTTATTTGCTTTTTTCAACATTTTTTATTGACATTATGTAATTATAGGAAGGTATATGTATGAAACCTATGTACAGTTTGAAGAGCAATTTGAAGGCTGACATCTTTATAACCATCATGTAGGTCAAGAAGTAAAACATTACTCTCATTCTAGAAGTCCCTGTTTGTCTCACAGGACACAGGAAAGTCACAATATCTCCTTCCCAGGGGTGTTAACTCTGCTAGGGATAATCACTCACATAGAGTAATTTTTGTGATAATAATTTTCCTACTTTCTAAAAAGAATTTGATGTACATAAATATATCTCTAAGAAATGTAATTTAGTTTTGCTTGTTTTTTAATGTTATATGAATATCTCGAGTTGGCATTCCTTTTCCTCTTCTTTCGCTTAGTAAGTTTGTGAAATTTATCTATATCGTTGTATGCAGCTATAGCGTGCTCATTTTCATTGCCGTATGGTATTCAGTTGAGTTCATATCCCTATTTGTCCATTCTCTATACTTTTGATCAGTTTTTGAGTGATTCCTGGTTTAGTTGCTGTAAAAACAGCCCTGTTACGAATATGAATCCTGGTATACACATGCAAGGGGTTCTCTTGGAATAAGAAGTAAAATTGCTAGGTGGTGGGGTATGTGTATGAAGCTTGTTTTCCGAAGCAGTTTTACCAGTTTACACTCCCCACAATGTAGTCTACTCAGGCTGTCATTAGTCCACCCCTTTGCCTTATTTAGTATTGTCCAACTTCCTAATTTTTGTCATTATGTTGAACATTTAATATCTTTTATGTTTTTAATTTGTATTTTCCTTATTGCTAATGAGATTATGCTCCTTTAATTAACTAATTTATTAGCCATTTGGATTTCTTTTGTGAAGCCCCTCTTCAGGTCCTTTTACCCATTTTCCTTTGGATCCTCTGTTCCCTCACCCTGCGTTTTAACCTCCTGAAGTATGTCTTGTGGCCTGTTTCACTGAAGTGCTCTACTCAAGTTTGCTTACCTTTAGGAATGAGAGACCTGTGTTCTGAAAATGCTTTCTCCCCCTTATTTCTAGGGTCAACTATCAGTGCAATTTTTCTCAGGGATAGGTGGAAAGTAGTCAAATTAAACCAATGTCAGAAATAGAGAAGGGATTCTTTCATTGGGGGAATGTTCCACTAGATTGGATTAGGTGACCTTCATTTAAGGTCCATTCTGGTTTTGATATTATAGCTTCTAACTCATATTAAATATGTATAACTGGTGTGTTGGCACATTAAATGTCTCTGTCTCTCAGTATACCTTAACAGTAACCAAATGCACAGAAACATATAAAAACCAAAATGTCAAAAATTTTAATTTGCAGAGAGAAATATAATTATCAGATTCATTGAATTAGGTCAATCCATTCTCTATGTAGGCCCATAATTCCCAACCAATGGAAGAAACTCATAAGAATCTCAAGAATATAGAGGTGTTTTTTTCAAACAACAAACAATCCCTTGGGAATTTAAATATGTGGGATGCTTCCTGGTTAAAAATGCCCTAGTGAATCACTGTTGGTGTGGAGAGTGTTGAGCCCTTTAGTTATGTTGGAGAGGAAAGGTTGAAAACATTGCATTAATATACACGGGAAGACAATGTATCAGAAAGTTATTAAGCTTAGAGTCAGAGTCCAGGGTTATTAGTTACATTAGCTTAATGACTGATGTCATAGACTATGATGCATTGATGCATCTCTGTCTCCATTTTTAGACTCTGTTGGCTTCATGGATCTGATATGTTTGTGGGCTGGGGAATTTTCTTCCTGTGTACTAGAGTCAAAATTCCAAACTTTATAGCTACCATGCAGAGAATCCTATTATTATCGTTAAGATATACTTTTATTAACATATACTTGCCTCAATTTAGTGTACATCTGTCATGTCTCCATGATGTTACAGTTCAGTTACCTTCATTGGATTTTAGTGTACATTCTTAAAAGTTAGTTTTATTTTTGTCTGTGTATTCAAAGCTACTATGTTGTTAATCCCCTGTACTTCTAGGTGGAGTTTCAGACTATGGGAATAGTATTTTGGGGATAAGGTAGTAGAATGTGAGGGTAGTAATGGGTGGATGGGTTTCCAGGATCTTTGGATATTTTCTTCTTTTTTCTTGGACCTCAAAAAATGAGATTTTCTTCTTTCATCCTGGAGTAGTCCTTCTTTCCCAGACCCATCCCCGATCTATCCCTTGTGATTATGGTGTGAATCACATACCAAATCTCAGCTTTCTTAGCATGCTGTCAGTAGTGAGAAGTAGATCATCTTCAGACCCAGCCCTGGTAAGGCCGGTCCTTTGGATGTTCTCCATTTACTCACACTCCTAGGCAGTAGCTATAGAATTGGATGAGTTGGGCTCTTGGTACCTTTGATCTCTTCCCCTAGTCAGTAGCTTAATTTGCACCTGCATACTTAGCTTGTTTTGTTTTTTTACCTGCCACCTAGTGGCTGAAATGTTGCTATACTATTGATGAGCTGCCACCAATTTTAGCAAAGTAAGGAGGCAAAGTGCCTAAAAAGATTGTTATCTCCCCCTTCCATGATAAGATCATCTTTAAATCACCCAGATGATTATCAGTCTTTGAATTAAAGGTTTATTTCAAATAGCAGTGTGCTTTATTTGATGATTTGTTATTATTTAGGTGCAAAGCTTTGATTTGATTGCTTCCTTTTAGCTTATTTTTGAGATATACAGACAGGGAGATATCTTTACTCTGTTCCTTTGTTATTCATTGTGAGGTGCTATTTTACTTTTATCTAACCTTCTTACCACTAAGAAGCCACTGAAAAATTAGTAAATCCGAGAAAGAAAGAATAAAGTGTACTTATCTGTAAAACAACAGCATATTTATTGGTAACTCATTTTTGAAAATTAATTAGGAATGCTTGATAAAGTACTTTCCCTCATACCCTCTGAAATCACCTAACTTTTGTTGACTATTGTATGATTATCATGTTTGGTATACTGATTCTTTTGATTGAACTAACTCTTTTGTAGTGTTTCAAAGGTTAGATTAGAATTAAAAGATAAATGATTTTGTATCTTTGCTTGATAATTCTCATTTTTCCTTATGTTGGCAATAATCTGCCCTTTCTGTAAAATCATGAAGTGTTCTATCATGGAGTGAATTACAGCGTTACAGATATGAATTAGAGAAACAGAATAAAACTTATTCATAATCCCACCACTCTATATGTATCTTTTACCTACTTAAGGTGATAATTTATTTTATCCAACTTTGACAGATGGGTGGGGATACATAATTAAAAAAAATGAAAAGTAGTAAGTACTCACTATTCAAAGTTAAGAAAATATCACTACCAAAGGAGGGAAGTAAAACTTAACTATATCTTGTCACCCAGAGAAAACTAACTACAGGTCTTACTTGGCCCAGCAATATACAGTTTTATACCTTGCTTTTTTCCCTCACAGTGTTTATATCATTTTATATCTAAAATGTCATTAAAAGTTTACTATAAATGATTTCTAAAGGCAGTATTTACCATTATTTACTTAATATAAATGCCTAATAGAGGAATGATAGCCTATTTGCTTAGCACTGTAATAATTGTCTTTGTGGTTAAATCTGTGTTTTGTTTTGTTTTGTTTTTTGGTGGGGGTAGATAATTAGGTTTACTTATTTATTTTTAGAGGAGGTCCTTGGGGATTGAACTGAGGACCTCATGAATGCTATGCATGCGCTCTACTGCTTGAGCTATATGCTCCCCACCCCCCAATCTGTATTTTGGATTATTTCTTTAAGATAAATTTTTCAAAAGTGAAATTAAGTGGGCCTAGGGATACAGATTTTTTTAAAGTAAATATACCCAAACTGTTTTCCAAAGATGTTCTATTAATTTTTACTTAATGTAATTTGACCCTGAGGCATTCACATTTTTTATCTAGGTAGTTTTTAGAGAGGAAAA